GGGCCTCCCCAGTTGTTCTAGTCAAGAAAAAGGATGGTTCAATAAGACTCTGCGTCGACTACCGCTGGTTGAATAAGATCACGCGCAAAGATGTTTACCCGCTACCTCGCATAGACGACGCCCTTGACTGCTTACAAGGCGCGGAGTTGTTCTCGTCACTAGATCTGCGTTCAGGTTATTGGCAGGTTCCCATGGCTGAGGCTGATCGCCCCAAGACGGCTTTTGTTACCCCTGATGGCTTATATCAATTTAACGTCATGCCTTTGGGCTCTGCAATGCGCCTGCCACTTTCGAGCGCATGATCGACAACATCCTCCGTGGCCTGAAATGGCAGACATGTCTGTGCTATTTAGACGATGTCGTAGTATTTTCAAGCGACTTTTCAACGCATCTTCAGCGGCTCGAGACAGTGCTTCCTTGCCTCACCGCCGCCGGTCTACAGCTCAACTTGAAGAAGTGCTGCTTCGGCGCTCGACAACTCCTAATTTTGGGCCATGTTGTATCTAGAGATGGCATTCTTCCGGATCCGACGAAACTCCGTGCCGTTGCTGAATTTCCCAAGCCGAAGACCTTAAAAGAACTTAGCAGCTTTCTCGGTTTATGTTCATATTTTCGTCGTTTTATTCGCAACTTCGCCTCCATCATATCGCCCTTGACTGACCTTCTTGCCGGCAACAACGACCTTTCTAGTTGGTCGTCAGCTTGTGATGATGCATTTGCCACACTCCGCCACCTTCTTACGTCACCTCCTATACTGCGACATCTTGATCCTCTTGCGCCGACGGAAATACACACGGATGCTAGCGGAGTTGGCCTCGGTGCTGTGCTCGCCCAGCGTAAACCTGGATTTGATGAGTACGTCGTCTCTTACGCCAGCCGTGCACTCACAAAAGCAGAAGCCAACTATTCAGTCACCGAAAAAGAGTGTCTAGCCATCATATGGGCCATAGGCAAGTTTCGACCATATCTTTACGGGCGCCCATTCAGCGTGGTTACAGATCATCATGCATTATGTTGGCTCTCCTCGTTAAAAGATCCCACCAGCCGGCTTGCCCGTTGGGCGCTTCGGCTACAAGAGTACGACATCCACGTCGTTTACCGATCTGGCCGAAAACATTACGACGCAGACGCTTTGTCCCGATCACCTCTACGATGCAGTGACAAGCCGCCGTCTTCGCCTGCCCCCGACGTATCTGCACTTAGTGTCAGTGACATGCGACAGGAGCAACGAAAAGATCCTTGGATCGCTTCACTTATCAACTTGTTGAATCGAACTCCCTCGCAAAATATCCCTAGAGATATGCGCCGTCAAATACAGCACTTCGTTGTCAGAGATGGTTTGCTATACAGGCGTAATTATCTCTCCGAAGGACGCCAATGGCTTCTAGTCATTCCCAGACGTCTCCGCTCAGACATATGCGCCTCCTTTCACGCCGACCCACAATGCGCCCATGCTGGAGTGTTAAAAACCTACACCCGCCTGTCCCACCGCTACTACTGGCGTGGAATGTATCGCTTCGTTCGTCGCTACGTACGTTCCTGTCTCGCTTGTCAACGCCGGAAGAATCCCACTCCAAGTACTCCAGCTCCACTACAACCTTTACCTTGTCCTGCCCGACCGTTTGACCATGTTGGTATTGATCTGTATGGACCTCTTCCGATTACACCGGCTGGAAATCGCTGGGTAATCGTCGCTATCGATCACCTTACGCGCTACGCAGAAACTTCACCACTCTCTTCTGCGTCAGGCAGCGACGTCGGTCGTTTCATACTGCATCAGATCATTTTACGTCACGGTGCACCACGTGAGCTGCTGAGTGACCGAGGGCGTGTGTTTTTGTCGGACGCTGTCGAATCGCTTCTCAAGGAATGCCAAGTCATTCATCGCACCACCACCGCGTATCATCCTCAAACAAATGGCATTACAGAAACATTCAACCGTACATTAGGAGATATGCTGTCGATGTACGTCGCAACCGATCACACCAATTGGTACAGTATTCTCCCTTTTGTAACCTACGCGCATAATACTGCTGTCCAGACAATCACTGGTTTCTCGCGATATTTCCTCCTTTATGGTCGCGAGCCCTCTTGCACGCTAGACACCATCCTTCCTTACCACCCGGATGTTGCTGAGTCGACGACGATGTCACAAGCTGCTAAATACGCGGAAGAGTGTCGTCAGCTTGCCCGCTCCTTCACAAGTGCTGAACAGCAACGCCAGAAACACCACCGCAATAGCCCGACGCCTCCGGCTTCTTATGCATCGGATGACCTTGTCTGGCTTCGCATCCCTTCAACCAGCCCTGGTCTCTCAACGAAACTGATGTACAAGTATGACGGACCTTACCGTGTGGTTAAGCAAACTTCACCCGTCAATTACATCGTGAAGCCACTTGAGCAGCCCCATGATCAACGACGCCGTGGACGTGAGACCGTCCACATAGACCGCCTAAAACCGTATTACGATCCCTCTATTGTCTCCTGCCCATGAGTCGCCAGGATGGCTCTTTTTCGGAGGGGAGGAAAATGTAGTGAAGAAGATGAATGCTACTCAGAAGGGCAGGGGGTATGACTCAGTCGGTGAAGAAGACGACGTTTGGTTGGCTGGGGACTCAGGCTAGTTCCGCCATTACCACTTGACGTGTCGTGACCGCTCTCCTGTTTTAGAAAAGAGTGCCACTCTAAAACGCCTCATTATAAAATAAATAAATAAATAAATAAATAAATAAATGCCACAGGTGCCAGCGTTTTAGATATAGGGCTGCCCTGATGTCCTGTCGAATATTAGGCTCCAACGACATTGCCATTCATTCAATAATTTCGATCATGTTCAACTGTTTGCAATGTCTTCAAGCCTCGTCTTGTATGCGCAAGTCATAAAGAGCGTTCCATACAAATAAATGAATAATTTTAGATCTAGCCGTGTCAAACCTTCAAGAAACAGCGAAGCTGGTCGATCTTATAGAAGATTAACGTGGCCTTCTGCGCTGTCGCTCGGTCTTTCCTTGGTGTAGGCTGAGTAGCGTCGAACCACAGCAGGTCACAAGCCATCCAATAATGTCATTACTCCAGCGCCACGATTTCTCGTGAATGTTTCCGAGTGCCCTCTGTTAGAATCGCAGGCCTTTCGTCGCTTGTGCTCGGCTCGCGCCGCACCGAGAAATCTCGGCTGCGCGAGCTGTCTTTATCGGTAGGCGTGGCTTGCCGGCGGCTGCTTGGCGCATGCGTGGCTAGGCGAGCTCACAATCATTTGGTGCGCAACTGTGGCTTGTTTATTGCTAGACAACGGTGCGAAGAAGTGTGTGTGTGTGTGGGGGGGGGGGGGGTGTGTTTTACCGCAAGCTTTGAGAGTTTCGCTCTTAAAAATACCGCGTTTAAACATGTGAAATGTGAATTTTTTTCCATTATTCGTCCAAAATGTTCAGCCCCCCCCCCCGCCCCCAAAAAAAAATTCAAGGGCACTTGATCTTCACCTTCAATGTAAAACGCATTAGCGTTATTGGATATTGTTCATACCACACTCTAAGTCATTAGCCTCGCATTTCACCTCAGTCAGCACGACAACGGGGCCACAAGTAAAGGAATATCCATGCGCAAGAAGAAAGCTTGCCTTTTGAGGCTCTCCTGGAATGCTTATACCACAAGTAAATTAAATAAGTGCACACTACGCCATAGTCCATTTCGCAAACCAGGGGATTCCCCGCTGCACGTCGACAAAGCGCGCCTACGCACACATACGCACGCCTACGCAGCTGCGCACACTTTGCTGTTGCTGTTGGTAACGGTGATTAATCACCTCATAGCGCTTTGTAATGGGAGGCCCTTTAAACCACCCACTTCCTACGGGGTATCGACGCCTGGTGCGATCCTGCGCTTCTGCCACGCAATATTTAACGCCATTTCTCGCATTACATAACGCCTGTGTAGTGGTTTTTCCCAGTTTTAGAGTTTTATCATCTCTAAAACCTTTCTTTTCCTTGTTTTCTTGTTTACTTGAGCACAGACTTTGCATCGTTGATTGATTGATATGTGAAGTTTAACGTCCCAAAACCACCATACCAACGATTATGAGAGACGCCGTAGTGGAGGGCTCCTGAAATTGCGACCCAGCTGGGATTCCTTAACCTGCACCCGAATCTGACCACTCGAGCCTACATCATTTCGCCTCCATTAAAAATGCAGCTACCGGAGCCGGGATTCGACTCCGCGACCTGCGGGTATGTTATCTATCGTTGGAAACTGAACCAACCTTTCCCCGCCGCGGTGGTCTGTTGGCTAAGCTACTCGGCTGCTGACCCGCATGTCGCGGGATCGAATCCCGGCTGCGGCGGCTGCATTTCCGACGGACGCGGAAACGCTGTAGGCCCGTGTACTCAGGTTTGGGTGCACGTTAAAGAACCCCAGGTGGTCGAAATTTCCGGAGCCCTCCACTATACGGCGTCTCTCATACTCATATGGTGGTTTTGGGACGTTAAACCTCACATGTGAATCAATGAAACTGAACTAATTTTGTTCACTCGTTGCACATCAAAAAAGGTTACCACTAAGTCGAATTGGGGAATACTAAAAAATTTTTCTTTAATGCTGTCTCCATTCTTTCAACGGCCGGCTTTCAGCTCATTTGCCTCGACACTAAAATAAAAAAGCAGACTTTTTTTTTCTGTAAGCCTTTCAGAACGCAATTTCGAGATTCTTTCCAGTACTGCTCGTTCGATGACCAAGCGTGGTGTCTCGGTAGACTTAGGGTGCATATCGTTAGACTAAACTAACCAGTGTGCGCTGTTGAGCAAGATAAACTAGTTTCTAATAAAAATAAGTAAAATACCCAGCGCCTCAGAACGAGGCGAAACTCTCGCAGTAGTCTGAAAAGCAAGAACAAAAAAGGAACAGCAAAAAAAGTTTGCCGTAGAGAGCTACATTACATGTATGCCTAAAGCAAACTGTTTTCATAAGGTTCTTCGTTTCTTTCTTTCTTGTGACGAGTTTTTTTACAGACGCTATAAAGTTCCATGTATCGCAACGAATGCCTCAAAATACCTCTTCAGTAGCGTCGCTGTTGACTCGGAAAGCCAGATCTTCGGAAGAGAAGTGAGAGAGTGGTGGAGTGCGCATTTGAGAAGACACAGAAAAGTAAGCACATATCTGCATATGGTCTAGTACAAAACAGAATCTTTAGCATTACTTACCACGTAACTCTGTTGCCATCATTAATTATCATTAGTGGGCGGGAGAGCGGCAGTCCAATCATAGTCATACGTGTTAATCCAGAAAACAAACGATTCATAAATGCTTAACGTCAGCCATTCTTTTTTCATGGCACATGCAAAGGGAGTCATGAAAAGGCATCACTGTGCGGTCCAGTCTATTCAATAGTTCATTAGGAGGGAGTGGACATGCTATCGTGATCTTCGACGGGTCATTAGCGAATCCAATTAGCGAACGGTTCCTACAGTAAACTTTCTGAATCCGGTCCCTGCTTCATAGTGGTCCATGAAGGGATTTTAGGCTTCAGCTTCATTATTCACTAACGGTTTTTCAGTTTTCAGGATACGGGACCACTGCTCTGACGAAAAAGCAACGAGACCTGCATTCGCAATCGCTTTTACGCCAAAATTTAAAATTTTGCGCAAAATCTCAAAGTTTTCTTCAGGCATGTGGACGATTGTTTCTTCGTTATAAAGAAATTTCAAAACACCAACCTATTCAGCCATCTAAACTTGTCACGGAATGCTATTATTCGACCAATCGTCAGGTCGATATACTGACGCGCTTTGCGCTTTTCCCGCTGACTAGTGCGTCGGCTTAGGGATGAAAAAAAGTTGTTTTAAAGACGCGAATAGCAGCGGATAGGTGTTATTCTTCGAGTGTCGCTGCCAAAGGGTGTCCGTTGTTCTGTACCACTGTGCTGAGAGCTTTCATTGGGAGGCTGCGATGGAAGTTTTGAACTCAAAATGCTCGGCTGAGAACCGAGGCAATATGCCCTTCCTCCGTCTGTCCCTTCACCCGCTCATCCATCCGTCCTTGCTTCCATCCGTCCGTCCGATCGTCCGTACTTCTGTCCATCCATCCGTGAGTCCATACTGTGTGCCTCCTCTTTGCTTCATTCCTCCCACGCTCCCAGTTCACTGAACAATTATGAATTACCAACTATCCCACCTTTCCATTCGTTCGTGCATTCGTCCGCCTGTCTGTGCATGCTTCCGTGCGTCCATCTGTCCGTCCATCCGTCCCTGCTTCCGTCCTTCCGTTAGTCTGTGCTTCTGTCCGTGAGTCTACTCGTCCATGCTTATGTCCGTCCGTCCGTCCGTCCGTCCGTCCTTGACTCCGTCCATCCGTATGTCTGCCCATCCATGCTTCCGTCCGTTTGTCCGTGCTTCTGTCCATCCATCCGTGCGTCTGTCTGTCTGTCTGTCTGTCTGTCTGTCTGTCTGTCTGTCTGTCTGTCTGTCTGTCTGTCTGTCTGTCTGTCTGTCTGTCTGTCTGTTACTTGCACACGAGTGCCACCTGCTGATTGAGTCATACAACTAGGTGGTTACGAACGGGTAACAAATATACATGCACAGACAGACCCACGGCTTTAGGAGCTTTGCTCCTAAAAGATTTACCAAAAAATTAGGCACCAAAAAACGAGATGAGGACGTTGTAAAGACATCAAAACCCCATTGAATAACACTCGAAAGATACCGACCATAACATTGGTTTCGTGTTTGTACGTGTGCACGATTTGTTCTTTCTTTTTAACCATACCACTTTTTTCCCTCCCGATTTTTCTATCTTATTTTCCTTTCCCCACAGCAGGGTAGTAAACCGTAAATTTTCTCTTTTGGTCAACTTTATTGTCTCTCGAAAAATAAAACGACACTCTGACAATATAAACAAACCAACAAATACGACAGTTCATGGTAAATTCAAAGTACTGGAAAAAAAACCACTTAAGCCGTTAAAAAGTAAACCTACCGTCTGTTTACGACCATGGCTAAACTACTGCAAGAAAAGCAAGCCAAACCGAGACCTCTACGGTCCCGGGCCGCTCACGGCCGTTGAACCCCACGCAGCCACAGTAACCAGAACACCCTTACCACTTTCAGCAAGAAAGAAGACGTGCCTTCTCTCCTTGTCGACAGCTGGGCTGTCAAAGACGTTAAGAGTTGCACCTGAACACATCCGCTATAGCTTCCCCTAAAGAAGGAGCCGAGTTGGTTCCGAGAAAAAGAAACCCATTTTGGGTTGGAGCATTGTGAGCCTTAATTAATTACCCAACCGGACAGGCAACTCTGTCAAAATGTTCAGATTTAAGGTACACAAAGAAGTCTAAAAGGCTATATAGCTGTGATTGATTGATTGATTTGTGGGGTTTAACGTCCCAAAACCACCATATAATTATGAGAGACGCCGTAGTGGAGGGCTTCGGAAATTTCGACCACCTGGGGTTCTTTAACGTGCACCCAAATCTGAGTACACGGGCCTACACCTATATAGCTGTGAACAACTCGTGAAATTTATAATTTAATTTATAAAATCACGCCTCAACTGCAACTTTCTCGCATCCGATGTCCATCCTTGCGGCCGTCCGTCCATCCGTCCGTATGTGAATCTGTTCGTTCTTTATACTAGCCGACAATTTAAACGTAGATATTATGGACCTTGGGACCTAGCTTGGACCTAGCATTATGGACCTTAGCTAGGACCGTCAGAGCAAGCACTCTGACATGCTTGCGCTCTCTCACGTCAGAGTTATTGCATCGCACGCCGGACAAATCGGGGCACGTGTTCTGAGAGCGAGAAATAGGCGAAAGAAGAGAGGGCGTTTCGGTTCAAGATGATCTATCTATGAGACACGATAAACCTCATGCATAAGAGCGCTGCTGCGACGAAGAAAAGGAAATCAATCAAAACTGAGGTCCAACCATGCTCTTCTGAAAGAACACTCATATAGTGCACGTACGCAAAACATGTATTTTTTTAATTTAAACAAAAGAACTTTAGATGCCCTTATACCATTTATTTGATCCTGTTATTTTCGTAACTGCGCACCCACCCACCTATATCTGTAAATAATTAAACAAACAAGTAAATGAACCGTATCCTATGTAGCTTGAGGCGAAAAAAGGCTTGTGTGTGTGTGTGTGTGTGTGTGTGTGTGTGTGTGTGTGTGTGTGTGTGTGTGTGTGTGTGTGTGTGTGTGTGTGTGTGTGTGTGTGTGTGTTTGTGTGTGTGTGTGTGTGTTTCGGTGTAATACACGCAATTCACCTTATAACTGAGGTTTTTTCGACGATGTAACATGAACAGCAGCCCTTGAGCCCGATATTGCGGCAACATGCTACTACGTTTGCTAAATTCAAGGCAACATGAAAACATTCCAAAGGTGCACAGAGAAAAAAAAAGACATAATTTTAGCTCGAACGTGTGCTACTGAGTAAACCAAGAGGCGTGGTACAAAATCGACGAGACGCAGTACTTGCACTGCTAGGATTGACGATGCCACCTCTGTATAGCGCGTCTTCTTCTCTCGTTGACGTTTCAGACAGCACCAGCAGCAGCAGAGACAGTCGCCAAAATGCAGCAACAGCAGGACATGTGGCAGCCACAGGGTGTCGACGGGACGGAAGCCACGAGCAATCACTCGGAGTTCTCTTGGTTCAAGCCCGACGAGCGGATCCGCGACTGGCCACTCATGGGAAGCCCAGTGGCAATCACCAGCATCCTGGCCCTGTACCTGGTGGGATGCCTTTACGTGGGACCCCGACTCATGAGGGACTGCAAAGCCTTCTCCATGCGTCCCGTTCTTATCGCGTACAACCTCGCCATGGTGGCGCTCAGCATGTTCTTCGCTTACCAGACCGCGAAGCTGGCGTACTTTAGAAGCGGCTACAGTCTGGTTTGCCAGGCGAACGACTCCAAGACGAACCCGTTCTTCGAGGTGATGTTGTACTACTGCTGGTGGTACGTGATGCTCAAGGTGGGCGAGCTCCTGGACACTGTGTTCTTCGTGCTACGCAAGAAGAACGATCATATCAGCTTCCTGCACGTGCTGCACCACACGCTGGCCCTCATCACTGTGTGGCTCGACGTGAACCTGGCCATCATGGGACAGGTGGCCCTGTTCCCACTGCTCAACTGCTCTGTGCACGTGGTGATGTACTCGTACTACGCGCTGGCCGCACTGCCGCCGTCGATCAGGCCGAACTTGTGGTGGAAGCGCTACGTGACCATATTCCAGATCGCGCAGTTCTTCGTGCTCATGGTGCACAGCCTGGTGCCGGTCTTCAAGGACTGCGACTTCCCGCGGCCCTTCGCGGTCTTCATGGCCCTGGAGGCTGCGCTCTTCTTCTACCTTTTCAGTGACTTCTACGTGAAGAGCTACGGACCCCCGAAGCAAGGCGAATCTAGTACGAAACTCAAGGGTCAATAGTGATGCCCCCCCCCCCCCCAGACTGTATTTAATCTTCATTCTTTGCCTGCTCGGACACTCGAAGCCGTAGAGGTGTTGTGCGTGAAAACTACGAGCCATCCATGTGTGTGCAGAGTGTTCACCCCTGTTCTCATACATGTGGTCTCCGCTGCCTGTATACACGCACGGTAATAGACCGAGCTTCAAACACTTGCCACCGTGGCATATTGCTGAATGTCTCGCAGTTTTGAGGAATTACGCGCGGTACTGTTTGCTTGGTTTGGTTAACGTTATCGATGGAGAGTGACAGTTTTGTTTGGTTCATAGGGCTCTGGTTATAACATTATCCCATCCCGTATATTGGTGTGTAACTTTCCCCTCGAGATTCTACCCTAAGATATTATTCATTTACCAAGTAAGCGTGTGTGAGTGGTGTCAACCATTCTCTTACAAGCAAACCTCAAGGATTCAACTGGTTTAATTTAGAAAACGCGTCAGCCTGGTGGGTTCGAATGCATAACGGTTTTTATTCGTTTGTAATTAGCTATCTATAGCTTATGTGCGCAATATTGTGAGAGGCAAAACTATTAAGAAAAGGTTCCAGTAAAAGGCGTTCTCGTGAATAAAAGTTCTGGTCTATTTTTGCGAAAACTCATATACATTTTAATACCTGTATTTTGCCGCCCTTATTTCTGTTTCAGCATCGAAACAATAGTAGTGACAAAAAACTTACTTTAGATCCTGATTGATTTGTTCCCCCTCGGAAGAGTGTTGATTGGAGCGACACACAAATATTTCTAGAGTCTGCGTCAACCGCATACCATATTCATCCAGCATGTGCAGTCACTTGACGCTGTGACACGCGCAGCTGCTTATCGCATTCTGATGACCGTTTCATGTGGACCGGCTTAACGGACAAGGTGTGTTTTCAACCTAAAAGTTATGAACCTGTGACTGAAATCAAAGCGCTTGTTCGTGAGTTTTCTCTTTTCGATCAACCTCTGTTTCTATTGTTGTTTGCCACTTAGAAAGAAGAAATGTTTCTGCGCCATCATTGCTCGCCATAAAAATGTCAGCCAACATCAGATGAAATCGGCAAAGGTGGCCAGCCAACGGCAAATGATGTTTCTGGATCAAACAATTCGTGCCTTCAGTCCAAGATTTGCGCTCGTTTACGTGTATGATGGCTGAACTGACCACATCACATGAGAGGTGTCAATTATATAGTCATGGTTTCGAAAACAAATGTGTTTACTCTTTTTAAACAAGTATGAGCGACTTTAAACCTCGCGTTGGTGTGTCAGTAGCTTTACGAAGTACTCTTTGAAAGCAGGAGGTCGCACCTGTGTATATACCTACGTGCTTCCTGCAGAACATTGCGTTTTTCGATAACGGTTCTGTGAAATGCATGTGATCATGGTTTGTGTCTGCTGTGATTCATCGTTCTTTTGTGAACGTTGTAATAATGGTTTGTACTCTACGGTAGCAATGTGACGACATCCATATGAGTACTGGCGTTCCCTGAATGACGAAGCAAATAGTTATTGTTCTGCACTCATGAAATACCCGTAATAATGCTGCGCAATTTATAAAGATGTGGTATCAATATTGATAAATGACTTTGATCACATATCTTACATTTCAACTGTACATATCACAGAAACCTAACGTTTCAAGACGACCGATTGCTAATCAGGGTTGTGTCGCTTGCAGGTTGATCTTAATGGCAACTTGTATGACAACTTAAATTATACCCTTTACAGTAAGGTTCATGTTTGCCTCTCTCGTGATGTAATAAAAGCACGTGATATATTCTCTAAAGCTCCGCCGCGGTGGTCTAGTAGCTAAGGTACTCGGCTGCTGACCTGCAGGTCGTGAAATCAAATCCCGGCTGTGGCGGCTGCATTTCCGATGGAGGCGGAAATGTTGTAGGCCCGTGTGCTCAGATTCAGGTGCACGTTAAAGAACCCCAGGTGGTCAAAATTTCCGGAGCCCTCCGCTACGGCGTCTTTAATAATCATATGGTGGTTTTGGTACGCTAAACCCTATATATCAATCAATTCTGCAACAATTGAATTTCTAATTGAAAGTCACGTGGAGATAAAAAACCGCCAGGCCTGCGCGCAGAACGCGCAGCACCGTCACAGCGGAAGCTGGAAAGGCGGCCTTTCGTAGCCTTTTTTAAACACTCTTCGGGTAACTGTTACAAGCACACTTGCAGGGGACCCACAACGCCATTAAGAGTCATAATTTTTGCGCAGCACGGAAGCATTCTCAATTCCACTGTCTTTCTTTCGAGAAGCATGGCACCCGCTACACACTAGCAAGAAGTTTTGAACTTTTTTTTTTCGATGCTGTTGATGACGACGATGAGAAATTGTGCTTGAGGCTTCTGTAATGGGTTGGAGCGTTCGACGACCCACTTGTTACGCGATTCACATTGTGTGACACCTGGTTGTTCTTTGGCTGTTCTAAAACGCTTTATTACTCACATTAACACGATTGCTTTCCCAACATGAAGCCTGATTATAAGGCCATCGAGTTTCAAGCGCCGGCATGGCTCTGGGGTAGAATAGTGGGCTGGCACGCAGTTGACCCGTGTTCAAATCTCAATGTATCCTAGGTGCTTTTTATTTACTGAATTTCGCTTAATTTGCGCGATTGTGGTTACGGGCAGCGGCAGCAGTGGAGGCAGCAGCTACAGTGGCTAGAATAGCCACTGGCTAGAATAGCCACTGTAGGTGCTGACATTTACGGCGCACGCTACCCTTGTTGCAATCTTATAACAGCTTTCGCTGTAAGATCCACGCATCGACTCAATCAACTTGCTTTCAATCAATTTGTTTTAGAACACTAATGCAGATGCCAATTCTTTCTTTTAGTTGTTGGGTCGATTTAATGACATCCTATATTTCACAATGTTGGCATTCATAAACACGTAGAAGCGACGGACGGTCGATGGCTTCAACTCAGGTACATGTTTGTGATGTTCACTGATATATATCAGAGCATGAAGTCTTCACGTCTTCGTTTTATCGCTCTATTTTGTAAGAACGTTTTCATCTGACAGTTTGAAATCTGGTGATGCTGAATAGTGATGTTGTTTGAGCCCCAAGGTTCTCGTGTTGTTCGTGAAAAAGCGAGAACCGAGATTTTCTGAATAAATATTGCTTTTCTCAACGCCATGTCTCTTGCTTTCGCCTGTTTAATTAATGAGTTTGAGACACATTAACTTAGACACGCATCCTTCTATTTCAAGTGCTTGATGCAATAACACTATAAAGTTTTAAAAAATTACCTAGCCTTCTTTTTTTGTTTTGTTTTGTTCTTAGAAGAATAGCATCTACATTTCAAATTTCGTTTACAATTACTCTTTAGTTGACCAATATGTCGCAATCCTCACACCGATTTATTTTTACGAAAACTTTCTTTTCAAGTTTAACGATCCCTGCATCTCTGTCAGCGCTTCTTTTTAATGTCTATAAGTTTCTCCAAAAGTTTAAGTGTTGTTCTCACTTTGATAGATACACCTAAATCACGTACGCTTTCTCTATTATCTCTTCCCGTCATTTCCGCAGCTGCGTTCAAATTCTGCCATTTCATTCAGCTGTTTCTTTCGGGACGACAATCTCTGGCACACAAGGGCTAGATGCAAATGCGCCGTGCCTGACGGGATCAACGCGGGAGTACATGAGGAATATCACTTTTCAGCGGCGATGCACCTTATAAGGTCTAGGCTTAATTGTCCGTTGTCCGCGCTCGCGGTGATGATGACGATGAAGAATAAGTGCGTTCCGGACCACATCTTTCTCTATTTATTTTCTAATTTATTGTTTATCACTTGGTTCTTTGGTTAAACATCCCTATCTAAATAACTCGGCTGGTAAAACCATTCGATCTCACAAATGAGGCACCGTCCACTTCATGGCCGATCCCCCCTGGTGGGTGGCGCCATGACTCTGAGGAACAACCAACCAACCAACATCCTTTTCTGTGAGAAGACAAAGAATGTCGACATACATTTAGGTGCTCATAAGTTTACCTCTGGGATAATACACATAACAGTGCTACTTAAAATTACAATTATTCATAATTAACGTTACATTAAATCATCACCGAATTATTTTAGCTCTTACTAAATATTAATCATAAATTCAGTATGTATGATCCGCCCGACTCATGACCGATCCCCCCGAGTGCGTAGGTGTCAAAGATTCAAGGATATTATCATTATCATCATTCACCTACACAGTCACTGTGAGGAACACTTTGAGACACTTTTCTTGTCTTTTTTTTTTCGATCTCCTTCGATTTCTCATCCGGTGAAATGTTATATCGCTGATGTCGTAGGAATGCGTTGACGATTATCGTTGTGTCAAGGCTCTGGGCATTTTTAAAACGCGCACAGTATTAGGCATAATGATTACTAGCTCAAATCTATCTCCGTTTAGTTTTTTTTTTTCCCTTTACGAGGAGAGCTGCGTCATCTCCCGATCTGCCATCTTCGATGGCGATGAGATGGTATTATCGGACGCCATGAAGTCAACTACGATATTATTATGTCAGCGAGAAAAGTGCACGCCACTTCTGTTGTGCCGAGAGCGGTATGCCAATAGAAACACGTCAACAATCTATAACATGGTGACATTAGCTTTCCTGTTTGTCGAGTTCCGTCCGGTTAATTAGCGCGCGCGTCTGCTTCGTAGGCGTCACGTGTGACCGTCCTTCCTCCATGCGTCTTCTGCGAATCGTCGAAAATTGACGGGTAACCCCAGAGGCATGACCATAAGGCCCAAGTCTGTCCACTTTTTCCTCGATTTATTTTTTACTTATAGACTAAGAATAATCTTTCAGGTGCTGTCGTCGTGCAGCCCGCGCTTCAGTCCGAGAATGTTGGCGCGCGAGAAATTTATTCGAACTATGAAGCCACTGTTCAACGTATGCCAGAAAACGTCAGCGATCCCTGTTTCGTGCGTCGGAAACACTTTCCTTTTTATTTTGGTTTTGTTCTTCAAACGCGCAGGGCGTTCGGTTTAATGATTGCTCACTAAAATGTCTCTGGTGTTTAGTCTTTTTTTCCTGCGAGGAAAAGCACGTCGCCTCTCCGTCTGCCAGCTTCCGCATATCGAGAGATATTTGCGACGCCGTGCAAAAGTTGACGCCCCGCGAGTGTACACGCCACTTCCTGCACTTATGGGCGTTGGAAGCGAGCGCCCCCACCCAGCACTCCTGGTTTCGGCAAAAGTGCCAACTCGTCCTCCGCGCAGCCGTAATAGGCAGGAAGAATCGACGTAGCAGCGGTCCGATCGCTTGCGTCATTTGGGCGGCCCGTTGAACGCGTATCGTGTGGACACTGGTTTCGTCTATATATACGCAGAAACACGACAAACTCGAGGACCGTTCTAGTTGCCTGCAAGGGCCAAAATGCCGAACAGATGGCCGCAAGGGAAATATTTAATGGGTGCAGGGAGGGGGACACCTTGATTTTGGAGGTGGAAATGACCATTTTTCGCTGAGAATACCATGGCACTAAAATTGTCGGGGGGTGGGGGGGGGGGGGGGCGACGGCACGGGTCTGGTGTGGCACCCCCTGGCTACGCCATTGAATGGCTGGCTTGGATGAGGCGACATCGATGCGAATCGTCTATATAGGCTCGATACATGAACTTGCCTCGTGTGATCAAATTATGCAGTGTTGCTGACCTCAGCAAATAAGAGACGTTGTCGGCGCTTCGTTATCTGATCACGGCTGACAAGAGTGTCTTTTTGAAGCAGCATCCTTTAGTATGACCCAATTGAGAAAAAAAAGGATCCGTAATCTAAGAAACGTCTTACGCTAAATATATTCCAGAGATAAAATTTTAGCCTATCACGATGCGGAATTTAGCAGAGCCCCACCGACCATTCATGAACAGAGAAGTGTTGTTTATACGGTCCCTGAGTTTTAGATGAAGACGCAAGTAATGACAAAAAAGATGGGTTCAAGGAGCTATCGGCAACAACTTAGGACTGAAACAATACATCTCAGAGCAGGAAGCTCCAGTACAATGGAGTGGGTCTGCACAGGCCACGGTAAGGTCCAGTACAGTTTAGTGGGTCTGCACAGGGCCGAGGGTAAGGACTTCAAAAAGTATTTACTACATCAGATTATTATATTCTCAATGCATTTAACACTATGCTTACTCACTTAGAAAAATAGCTCATTTAAGAGAAACTGCTGATTTTTTTTTTTCCGTGACCTGTGTCAACCCTAATCCCCCAGTGTATGGTAGGCTGGGTAGCCAACCGGACGTCCTTCTGGTTAACCCCCCCCCCCCCTTGCCTCATCCCTTTGTCTGCTTTCTTTCTTTCCTTCCTTCCTTCCTTCCTTCCTTCCTTCCTTCCTTCCTTCCTTCCTTCCTTCCTTCCTTCCTTCCTTCCTTCCTTCCTTCCTTCATTTTTGTTTGCGACGAACACAACTTCAATTAACGCTACTACTGACGAGAAAAGTGTATAGAAGACACGAGCTGTGCCTAACTGATTTGTGAAGTTGTGCGCGTATGCAGAGGAAGAGGCTGATTCTTTCAAACACACTAAAGAACAGAAATATACAT